TACTAGGACAACAGTGCTTCAACAATAAAAAAAAATTAGATTGTAACAAGATTATTCAACACTTCGGTGTTACAGTTGACAATAAATTTTCAGTTAACTCTCATTCGCCTCCTCTTCATGGATGGCACAAAGTCCAATCAATAATCTGACGCTTGCGTGCTCTGGGATGTATTGTTGTCTCACAATAAAGTCGACTTACAACATGATTCCTAGTTCAGTTGAGCGAGCTGTGCACATCAAGCAGGAGTATCGATTTAAGAACTCGGCTTACTACTCACAACACATGGCGATATGACTCAACATCATTCATCATTGTACAGCTTATTACAGGAAGTGAACTTCACTGATTACTGCCAAACTCATGATGCATACAAGGTAAGAGAGACTGTGTAAGGGGGACAGGGACAGGGCCTATATTTAGGGACGAGAAAAGAAAGCGAGCCTCTATGGCCAACGCAGAAACCACCGTGCAACTATTTCAAACATTCTGGTCTGATAGGAAGTGACAGCAAGATCGCCACTGCTGTTGGTTTGCTGCCATGACCTTCAGTGTCTCCAACCATCCGGTTACGAAGTCTTCTGGACCCCATCCCGAGGAACTTGAACCACTTACTCTACCTAATTGCTCTGTGCATTTCGTCATGCCTCGTCTCCACGTCATCTGTTGGCCTCCATGTAGCTTTCTTCAGTCTGCAGGGACCACTGCGTATAAGGCGCGGTGCATTAGGTGACTGCTAGACATATGCAAAGCATGTTCTAACCAACGGAGCCTATTGAGCTGAATTCGGTGCGATAACGAGCTGGTGATCGATACATTCCTAAACACCCGACGACTTCTGAGTTACTAACCCTCTCATTCTATCTCATCTCTGTCAAACTACGTAAGCATCGATTGTCGAAAACTGCTAAACGACTGGTGTCTTCTACCCGCAAATCCAAAGGCCCCCAACCGTAAAGCAGAACTGGTCGTACAGCGGCGCCGTATACGCGACTTTTCAACTTCCGTGAAACGTCACATCGTCGCGAACAGTGTTTTAGTCCTACGTACGCTGCCCGAGCCTTCGAAATGCGGGTGATTATCTCCTTTGATGCGCTACCGTCGTTGGTCACGCAGCTACCCAAGTGCGAGAAGCAGTCGACTTCCGCTAATTCCTGAACGTCCAGTTTCAGAACGGGACTAGGTGGCACCCAGTCTTGTAGCACCACTTTGTACGTTGAAGGTACAAAGCGCATGCCGAACGGAGCGACAGAACTTGCTAATCTGTCAAGTGTCTTTTGTGCATCCTCCATACATTCGAACAAGCAGACGATGTCGTCAGCGTACTCTAGGTCGCACAGCTTTTTACCAGCTGCCCATTCAATACCAACATTTTGGAAACCACCTACTGTGTTCTCCAGTATTTCGTCCTTGACGAACATCGCTGCTAGTTACGAACGACCTACTCAGTTCGCCATAGACCCTTACGCTACCAGAAGTATGTGAGTACAGTAAACTCAGTATGTTCACATACTACTGCGGTATTCCTTCGCGAACCCATAAGGGATTCACGATCAACTGAGTCGAAAGCTCCTTCTAGATCAAGGAACACGACAACCGTTGGTTGACAGTGTGTACGGCGCAGTTCGAGGACTTGATCGGTGCACCGGCGACCTGGTCGAAATCGTGCTTGTTGTTCCCGGATGTTTGTATCCCTAAACGGCGTCAGACGTCGAAGTATAATGGAGGCTAGTACCTTCGCGACGATTGAGATCAAACTTATTCCGCTGTGGTTTGCGCAGTTGTTGCGAGATCCCTTCTTATAAAAAGGAACGACCAGTGATTCGCTGCAGGATGATGGAATGTGCTCGTGTGACCAGATGTCACGCATTAGATCAGTAATGGAGTCTACAAGGTCATCGCCCTCCATCTTGAAGAGAGTGGGAGGAAGCCCGTTCGGTCCTGTTGCTTTTCTTTCCTTCAGGGCTTGGATGCAAGAACGAACTTCTGCTGCACTAGTGGTTCAGATGACACCACCCACGGAGCCTAAGCTGCACCGGAGGAGATAGCCTTGCCGAGCCGTTGTTCCCTATTGTGAATAGCCTGTCCACTTTTGTCGCAGAATGTTTCACTAATTGTGGTTCGTTGACCTCCCGTATCGCGTATCAGTTGGAACAGTCTCTGACTATTCCCTGATGCAGCTGCTACTTCCATTTCACCAACTATCGTTGCCCACCAGTTCTCACGGTCTTTCTTGATTTGACGTTGAAGACGCCACCTAACCCCGCCTCACTTGGGTTGTGTTAAACTGAAAATACCGATGTTGATAAGTTTCACAATATCAGATCCAAATTTGGAACGGATGTTATTGAAGTGATTGTGCGTCATGCTCATAGTATTAGATCCGTGAAGGAAAACGTTTGGATTAGCCATGACGATGAAAAAACCAAAAACAAGTTTATTTTTTGGTGACGACGTTTCGACCCTCTTGGAAGGCCTCTATCAAGTCAATTAACAAGTGAACATGTGAGACAACCATATAGAAAGACCGGAGCTTTGTGATTGGTCTTTGGGTAAGGAAAGCACTGTGTGTGTGATTAGGAATGTAACAAGAATGAACAAGTGACGTAATAGATTTTTCGTATAACGGATAACGATAACGGATATCCTTCCAGTTTTTTACGAAAAATCCGTAGAAAGCTAAGAAAGCCCACGGAGTCAAAAGCAAAAAGTACAGATTAGATTGCGACAAGTGTAATCCCATATCGCCGCAATACATCGGAAGATATTCAACGTGTGCTAAACAGATATAACATACGAGTGGCATTTCGGGCAACCAACAAACTTCGCTCAAAGCTGATGCGACCTAAAGAGGAGCAATCCAATCTCATCTACAAAATAAGATGTAAACAATGTCCGGCTACATACGTTGAACAAACGAGCCGACAATTGAAGCAACGTTTAGCTGAACATGATAGGAAAACTAGGAAAACACCAAAAAATACCGCAGAACTTAGGACACTTGAAAGAGACTCAGCAATCGCGCTACATTCTATCGCCGAAGGACACTTGATTGACTTAAAAAAAACAATTATTTTGAAACAAGGTTTTCGGTCATAGAGAACGACTGTTCACGGATTCATTGTTCATCAACGGCGATCCGAATTGCGTTAATCGATCGGACGGAGCTTAATTATCAGTCCACTGGCCTGACTCCGTTTAACCTTTCACTCACAGACACACACACACCGGTTCTTTCCACACCATAGGTTTTCACACACTCTAATCTCCTATAATCTATTACGTCACTTGTTCATTCTTGTTACATTCCTAATCACACACACAGTGCTTTCCTTACCCAAAGACCAATCACAAAGCTCCGGTCTTTCTATATGGTTGTCTCACATGTTCACTTGTTAATTGACTTGATAGAGGCCTTCCAAGAGGGTCGAAACGTCGTCACCAAAAAATAAACTTGTTTTTGAAAATACCGATATTTCGTCCTCTGGTTCGACTGTGCGCCGTCCTAGCAATTACAAGCTCACACACCTTTTTCATCCAACCGGCAGAAATCAATCAGCTCCGTTAAGAGTATCAAGTGATTCATTATTTCGAAGACTGCTGAGTAGAAAATACATTTGTGGCGCACTTACACTTTAAGGTGTCGATACCCGGTGAAATGGAAAGCATAATCACAACACACTCACCTCCGTTGAATGGTGTACCCGGCGAGAGAAAGTCTAGCGTTTCGTTTTGACCTTCCATTGATTGTAAAATATGGTGTCCGGTTTTGCAAAATGGATTTAACAGACCGTCGCGAAGCTCATTTTGTTTGGCTCTACGCGTCAGGCTTGGGTTTTTGGGAGACAGGTGAAAACTCAAGTGTCTACGATGAATGCGGAGGTCGTATTCTTCAAATGGGAGCAGTTCAGGAAGAAGCGAAGAGTTTGAAAGTAAACTAAAAGATGGAAGTGGCTTTATAAGCACAGCTTTCGGTTTGCAAACCAGCTTCACAAGTTTCTCGTAGTTTCACACCAATCCAACGTGCGCTGTCTCGTCTTTCTCTGCCAAATATACAAAGTTTCCCGTAAATAGCCATCAATGATGCAGATTGACCGAGGCATGTAAAATATGCGGAATGGTTTATGCGCATTTTGCTACGACTCTCGTCGTTGACTGGAGACGTATTGACTTAGGCTGTTTTCTGCGAAATCGATTTACTCCAGACGACAGACTGTTTAACCTTGAGTATGCAGACGACTTTGTGCTAGTAAGTGAAGATCTAGGTAAGTTGCAAGCTTTTCTGGTTATTTTGATTGCCAGTACATCTATGTTTGGTATTCGTTTTGCACCTTCAAATTGTAAAATGTTCCTACAAGATTGGGTGGATAAGTTTTGATAACTGGGTACCTACATCTTACCCGGTGGACGCATCACAGATGAAGTGTCGACGCAAATACAGAAAGCTCGGTTAAAAAGTGGAAAGTGCTGCTACAAGATTGGGTTGGTCCAGCACCCAGTCTCACCGTGACTGATGAAATTATAAATCTGGACAGCTACATCTCACCTGGCGGACGCGTCACGAACGAAGTGCCAGTGCGCATACAGAAGGCTCGGTTGGCATTTGCTAATTTGAGACATCTATGGCGCCTTCGGCTGTCCGTGAAGGGTCGAGTGTATGCCGTAGCAGTTCGGCCAGTTCTGCTATACAGCACAGAAACTTGGCCATTAAAAAAGCAGGAAAAAGATAAACTGTCGGTGTTCGAACACGACTGTCTACGTTGTCTTGTACAAATCTGATGGGGAAACCGGACGAGCGATGCTGACATTAGGTGTAGTTTTAGGCAATCGTGATCGTCCACTGGGGCGATAATCGCCGCAGCAGGTAACGGAAAAAAGCCAAGGATGATCAAACTAAGACCTGGCATGAAAAGCTCGAACCAGGAGTCTCGGTCACATACATACCGTTAGGCTTCCTCGATGGAGACCCCGGGATCATGGTAACCGGTGGTTAGATACACTGAGTGATATGGCTGCGTGCCGCAAACAGTGGCGCTTGTGCATCTATTCATTATACTTGCAACCTCAATCCATATGAATAATCTTCGCCTCGCATTTACTCTCAACATTCCAATCCTCCTGCTCTTTCATCCAAATGGGCAGTCAAAAGATAGTAAGCATAACCGGCGCACGAAAGTGCTTGGTTAATGTTTGTAAAAACGGAAACTAAACTGTTTTCCACTTTCTTTCTCGAGCTACAGGTTCATCGGATAACAAGGAATCGACATTTTAATAGAAACACACCATAAGTACAATCCTAAAATTCCTGTTGGGTTTGGCATGCTGCTGGGTTGGATCATCTTTTTTCGAAAAAATTAATGGAACGGTTGACTCGCTGTCTATATTGGCCTATCAGTATATTTTATCGTTGGACTCAGAGTTAGGATAGGGTTTGTTTCCAACAGGGTCCTAGTGCCGCGAAAAAAATTTCATCATTCATTGTGATGCACGTTAGCGGCATATGAGAACCATTTGTTTCTACACAGCTACCTAATATTTCCCGAACTCTTATCAGAGTACGATTTAAACCGGTGTAATACTTGAAGCCACAATGGCTGATCTAGCGTACTTGACCTGTGATCAGATGGTGCACTCCACCATAACATGAAATGTCAACTTTTTTAAATCACCTAATCGCCCTACTAAACCTTTCATCCAAAATTCGGAAGAGCGATCTCCAACCCGTGTACTCATTTTGTACAAGTTGTATTTTTCGTTTGATAAATAACAAATTAGGGAGACTTGTAACCCACGAATGATAGTAACGACAATCAAGGACCACCAATCGAACGACCGTACGATAGGGCAATAGCCCAACCCACGTTCCAAACCTGTCAGGGATATCGAGTTGAATCCGCAGAAGCTCGATGTCGAGAACCAGTCAAGAATGACAAAGATGGCAGAAATTCATTCGTGTTAGTGTAGTTGGCTCGATCCAAAGGAGGTTGTAATGGACAGCTCCTGTTCGAAAGCATTTTCACGGACGACCTAGAGTGATCTTGGAAATGAGCTCAAAAGTCTAGAATTTTTGGTCACTGAACTAGTTGCGGAAAGCACGAACGGTAGTGTGAAGTGAGGCGTAAATCTGAAAGTTCAAATTTTATATAAATAAATAGGAAAATAGGCTTTTCCGTAACATTTACCTCAAACATCTGACAACGTGAAATATACAAATGCAGTCGATTAATCCGAAAGGAGATTCAAAGACCATGCAGCTGTTCAGAGATTTGTACATTGCGGGTGTTCTGGTGTTGATTAACTCTATGGACATTTGGGAAACCATTCGGACGTTGATGCGCACAACGAGCATCTTGTTTTGTTGACAATTCGACTGCTATTTCCGTTGGCGGGAAGAAAGCCTACTTGGTTCTAGAAAAAACTGCATCAGTGCCACAACAGTAGACTTAATCTAGACTGACAAGTAGACAGTTATTGAATACAATTCAGATAAGCCGTTCCCCTGCACTGTACTAAAATGCGTGTTTCCTGTAACAAACAACCTATCCGACCATTTTCCTTTGGTACACGTCACCTGGTAGACGGCTGATCATAATAGTTACGAAAAAGCTTGTTGGTTTATTCGTCATTTTTTATCTTGCTGCACATACCAGGACAACTTTTAAGGTAAGTACCTCTCAATAACATTTCTGTTTTTACTTACTTCCCTTTTAGATTTAATTGACCCGGGCAGTCAGCAAATGATGATACAAACTGAAGACGGACAAGCAAACAATATGTTGCTCTACAGTTCTGTGAGTTTCACTAGTCATTTTGCTAAACGTTATTCGTCTGCCGCTCGCTGAAACATCCTCAGATTTTTAGTACCTTCAAGTAAATATTTTTTTATCACTGGAGCGTTAATGACGTCTGCCTTTGATGTGTAATCACTAAATTTATCATTCCCCCTTTGTTTAGGCTATGGAAGGGCAACATCATCAGATGGACGAGGCCGTAATTGTGGGCCAAGAGGAGGAGAAAGAAAATCACCAGTATTCCTTGAGCTAAAGTATCCTACGTTACTTATCGACAGCATTTTTCCCTTCCATTGTGTAAAACAACCTTGTTTCTACTTTCTATACCTTCCCACAGTATCGTGGGTTCTCAATGTATACCGAATTCTCTATCAAACAAGCATAAAGATTTTTTAACAAATCAAATAGTTCTATCTTATGAAACCGTGGATATAAAATACCGAGTATGTTTACGTTACTCCAAGGCGTGTCGGTTGCTAGTGCTTCAATTCGCAGTCATTCTCGGGATGAGACCCATTCAAAGCTAATGTCGTTTTGCTTCAGTGGCCAGAGTAAGATAAACGCTTGTGGAAGAATTTCAAGCTAGACACTCCAATTATTATTGTTTATAGAAGAGCTCACCGTGGGGAACGAAAAAAATGAGCCTGCGCGTGACAACCCGCACATATATCACTGGAACTCTGCGCCTCCGGTAATGCATACGCAGAGGGTATCGAAGTACACGTACTCTATACTGTGTTGTTTCAGTTGTTTGAAATACCTTACATTCACCTGATTGCCCTCCAGTCGCATAAGGTAAGTGTGTTGGTCACGATTTCATACACGGTGTTTTCCCAAAGTTTGGATTGCAGAATCTGGCCCTTGTGGCATACTCTACATCGTTTCACATGATCGATTAACATAAAATATGTTGATCCTGTGGTCATGGTTCTTCTGGAGGGTCAAACAGTTGATACAGTTGACGTGGCTATAAAAGCTCCTAAATTGTCTGTTTGTGGTTAAGGTGGAGTCTTAACGATCGGGGAATTCGTAGAATAAACACTGATAGTTTTCCTTGAAGAAACCTCGAAATGCATTTAGGACGTGCGTCAGCTGACTAAAAGTTCAACTGACGTGGTCGAAGTGTAAGCTCAATGGATGTTAAGGTCACGTGAGAGAATTAGCCCTATCGCACTTACCGATCAAAAATGATAAAATATCGAGAATAATTGACCAACAATCAGCTAAAATTGTTTTATGTACAAATCTGAGTATGATTATCAACAGCAATCTGGATTCTGAGTACAGGAAGTACTGAAGGCGGCGATCGAGTCAGCAACAATCTTGATACGCACGAATCCTCGAGTCACCGTACTGACAAACTTGTGTCGCTCTGATACATTAGTCTTTTCCACAGCCCTCCGGACATGGGATAAAAGACCCTGGTGGGGCGGTGTAGCTGCCAGATATTCCCATTCGGCAACTGACGTCTGAGCACAATCCAGGATAAAAGCAAGGAGGGCGAATTGTTTATCGGGAACAAACTGTGACAGAGCCGCATAAAGATCCGCGAATTTTGTGATTAGTCGACGAGGCAGTGCCCCTTTGGTGAAAATTAACACTAGATTACAGTGCGTCTCAAATAGGAAAGTGGGGGTAACTAACGCTGCTTTATCCAGTGCGGGAGCGTGAGCGACACGTTGAAGCACAGTTGTGGCTAATTTAATACACGGTTCGGCAGTGGACCACTCAGGTAAGCACATTCCTGTGAATGCCACAGTGAAACAGAGTCGTAAAACCCAGAGAGATTCGTCGCCTAACTGGCGCTCTATTTTGCTCAAAAGACTGTTATTCCAGACGGTGAAATGAGCTGTCTGCAAGGAAAGCGAAAGGGTAGGCTCATTAGGGAAAGTTCACCGAAAAAGTCGCATTTTATCTGCAGGAATAAATGTGTGTAGGCATTTGAAAACCGGATAGAGCTTAGTTGTTCGCTGTGTGACCTTCAGACAATCTGCACAATCGGTGCACCTTGAGTGAAAAATACCACTTCAAAAAATGACGCGAAAATCTCTTGGAAAGCCTTCACAATACAATGCGTCATATTCCCTGTCTGAGCTGTACCACTTGAAGACAACCACATTTTCCTACGAGGCGGTTCGGTTAAGGTAGTTGCTAATGCGGAGACACGCGAGATGTTTCGGTTTCCGCGTATGCAGATCGGTCATCGAAATATCATTTTGGTCTTATCAATAGGAAAAAGATCTAATTGGCACAGGTGACTCTATGCAATGGATTTCTTTTTCAGTGAGATCTTAAAAACATTAACATAACGCCTTTTTTTTATAGAAAAGAAACATCCACAGTTGGTGTGAGAATTATCAGACCCGGTTAAATAGTAACTTACTTGATCGCCAAGATTCCAGACCAACATGCGATGGAGGAAACGTGCAAAACTTTCTATCTGCTCCGTGACATGTTGAGCGTTGATGAGGAGCAACGTTGCAGATATTGGATGTGCTAGGATAGAGATTGAATTGCACATTTCGGGCATCCCCAGACGAGCCGTTGTTTTCAGCGAATCGTCAATGCGATGTAGAACTTGAGCCATTAGTTGACAGATTGCAGTTTGCCATGTGGAATTCGCCGAAGCCATCCACACCACTGAAGCCAGACGGCCAATCAAAAGCCACACCAAATCCAACATTGGCCCAGAATTACTTGTTTCTATTATGATCAATCGACCTAGAAGGTTGACATGAGCCTCTAAAAGAGTATCGGAGGCACTCGAGCGAAAAGGCGCATCAGCGGTGTTAAAAGCAGCTTGAAGTAGACGGGAAATCTAAAGTAGGTGGGGTTAAGATAGGAAATAACCAATAATATTTGATGGTTTCAGGTAGTATAAGAAGAGTCTGTGGACTAAAATTGGTTCAGGAATGACCATACATAATGATATCAGAACATAGTAAAAAAACTACCAATCGTCGCTTGTCATAAAAAATGACGTGCTCTAGAATATTCCCTCCACATCAAGTGGTGGCCAAGTGGTTAGGTCACCAATTAGTGACCTGGGTGTCCCAGGTTTAAACCGCTCCACCGTCGCCCGTCTTCATATCTGTATTTTCCCCAGGCCGCCTTTGTATGGCCGCAGCCCCGTCCTAAAAGTTGACTGTACATTTGTATATTGAATAAATCGAAAAAGTAAGCAAAAAGAAATTTTATTATTATTAAGTTGCAGAATTTTTTCAGTAGAAACCCTTAAGCTGTTGGAAAAACCCCTTGGGTAGGTAATGCTCGAATTGTACTGAAGCATCAACAGATACAAATGATGTCACGTTGCTGCTGAATTCTCCTTTGTATCTTCAGACTGGTATAACATTCAGTTGCATGTAATGTAATGAACCAAAGCTCGCACACAAGTAAACTAGTTATTTTTCTTACTCGCTCTGAGAAACATTGTGAGAATTACGAGTCTCATAACTGTATTTCCTAGCAGACAGAAAAGAAAAATGGCAACAGTCTGGTACAAGCATTAATGGACAATTGGAGTGCATTTCGATAAGCATTACAAGCATCTCACGAGAAAACGGGTCACTGGAAAACTTACTCCGTTTAAAAATTCACCACCCAGAGAATCCCAGTTTCCTAAGTCCGCATGGAGTAACAAGCGAACGAGCTGTATGTGTAGGTGAATTCCGGTTTCGTAGGACAGTTGCAGTGCTTCCGGCCTCAAAATTGCGTGAATTCGGTCTGACATATGCTGAGCGTCACTTCCCTTCGTTAAAGACGTGAAAAGACCTCGCAGAAGCTCCATTAGTGCGGAACTCTGTGAACGAAAAATAATAGGCATTCGCCGCAGTTTTGTCTAGATCATCGAGGTTTAAAACACATTAGAATAAAACCCATCCACTACGGTACACAAGAGTAAACACGATGTGAGCTGTTGAAAAAAAATTAATGTATTTACCACGATGATTTTCTGCGGCTTTCTGGCTGAATTCGATAAAATATAACTGGTGCCCGAAAGCAAGCGTTTCACGAATTGAACTTTATCTGTCGATCGCACAATTCATCCAACCAGGTCAGTTTATTCTGTCTAGACAGGCATCACTCCATGAAAACACATGCGTAGAAGACAATACAGATATTGTTGTCAGCCAGATCGTCAAGCGTGATCTGAGATAACCTATTTGACTAATTTATCTAATTCTAAGCAGGGGCGATTGCACAACTTGAATAACCATCAGTGGCATTTACGAATCAGTGGGTCGAACCAGCCTACAGAAACAATCAGTGGTGAATGGTTTCGCTACTACTTGAATCTATACCATCCCTGTTGACCCTTATGTGATCCACCACTACAAAGATCAGAGCGTAAGATGCTTCTGCCGCTAGCTATTGTTGCCCACCAGTTCTCACGGTCCTTCTTGAGGATCTTCGTGAGCTTACGTTGTAGATGCCGCCTAACTCTATTTTGATCCTGGTAGGTCGGGTGTTGTCGTTTTTATCCATCAGTGCTACAGACTCATCACATATCCAATGCCTCCGTTGAGTTTGAAGCTCAGACCCACATGCAAAATTCGCTTCGGAATGCATTGCTCGCCTAATCTGATCCCACTGCTCGTCTAAATTACCACGTCGAGGCGCACTTAGCCCACGCACTAGCTCTGAGTCATAGCGTACACTAACTACTGGAACAGATAGTCGATGATGAGCTATACGAGTTTGCTGAATTGGTCACCGGCCTGCAATTTTACACTGAGCCACGCCAACGGCAACTTACTGCTATGTGGTCAATTTGAGTTAACGTACCAGTTGAACTGGAGTGCCACTTTGTCGTTCGTCGGAAGTTGGTGCTTGATAGGAACAGATGAAGGTCTGAGCAGAACTGAAGAAGTCGATCACCGTTATCTGTTCGCACAACTACCGCGTATGCAAGCTTCTGATGCGCCCAATCTTCCAGCCTTAGCGTTGACGTCACCTGCAAGTACAACTATGTCGGAGCGTCCTTTTGCGTATCAGAACTGAAATTGGTCGGTGCGTATGCCGATACGATGAACAAACACGTTCCTTCCGGATAGTGATTGAACCCTGGAGACGCATTGCACATAAATGACTACTGACGGGGATCCAATCGATAAGAGGGGACTCAGCCCTGTTACTGAGTACAATACCTACTGCGCGCTGACCTACTGAAGAAGCTTCGTCGTCGCCTGATGTGCGAAGAACGTATCTCGAAGAAAAATCTGCCGCGCTCAAGTGGCTTATAGTAGTAGGATACTGGATTCTAGTTTCCGACGAGCAGCAAATATCGATCCCCAAGAATTCCATTGTACGAGCCAGACAAGCTTGTTGACCTACCTGCATCAGGGTCCTGACGTCGAAGGCCCCCAGATTCAGTGACTGACGAGGCTTTCGAATCTCCAATTCGTTACCAGAGACATTACTTACAGTGCTATTTGGCAATGACCTTTGACCAGCGACATCCCAGTTGCTTGAGGGACTATTACAGGTCGGAAGAAGGGGAAAATGGAGAGGGCTGGATACTGAAAACAAAGAACTAAACAAAGGTTGGGATATCTGAGCAGTAGCTCACTTATCACTACCCATCCCGCTCGATGCAATGGGCAGCGCGGTCTTGATTATCCCGCGCGACGACCGATGCAGTAT